CTCCTCAGGGATGTGTGTTGAGCCCCCTTCTGTTTACTCTGCTCACACATGATTGTGCAGCTACCCATCCAGGCTGTCACATTGTAAAGTTTGCAGATGATACAGCGGTGGTGGGATGCATCACAAACAATGATGAGTCCAGCTACAGGCAAGAGGTGGAACACCTGGAGAGCTGGTGCAAAGAGAATAACCTTCACATCAACATGAAGAAGACAAAGGAGATGATTGTGGACTTCAGAAGGAACAAAAACACCTACACCTCCCTTAACATAAGAGAATCTGCAGTGGAAGTGGTCTCCAGCTACAAGTACTTGGATGTACACATGAATGACAACCTCAGCTGGAGCAACAACACCACCAACCTGATCAAGAAAGCTCATCAGAGACTCTACTTCCTCAGACGGCTGACGAGCTGGTCTGGGAAGCGCAGTCCTCCCCTCCTTCTACAGGTGTGCAGTGGAGAGCATCCTGTGCTCCAGCATCAACGTGTGGCATGGAGTCTGCACAGATGCAGAATGAAAAGCTTTGCAGAGAGTGGTGAAGGCTGCACAGAAGACTGTTGGAGTCAGACTCCCCAGCATCACAGACATCTACACATCCAGATGCAGGAAGAGGGCCACCTGCATCATGAAGGACCCCACTCACCCAGCACACACACTTTTTGCCCCACTCCCCTCAGGAAGGAGGTTGAGGAGCATTAACCTTCCTAGCGGGGCGAGATCCCACACGCACTTATGATGTGAACGGGTCAGTTGTGACCCGTCTTAAATCAGCCAAAAAATGCCCTCAAAACAGTGTTTTTTTAAGAAGTATTAGAACACATCTCTAAAGGAACATCCCTGAAGGAACAATCTCCGCTTGTGGTTTTTTTTGGCGTTCCACCCCAAGTCAATCTGGGTCCACAAGACAAATGCATTGTATGCAGACACATCTAGGATGTTGTAAAATACAACCATTGGCCATCTCCTGGTCATTCGCTGGCAAGTGTAGGTGGCAGTCAGCTTGTCCAGGGTGTCCACTCCTCATTTGTTTTTATTGTAGTCCAGGATGATTTCAGGCTTTTTGTCACTTCTTGTTGACACAGCTGCATTTTTGTGAAGAGTGGACATAAGTACCACACTCCGGTTCTTTTTGGGACAGTATGAAACAACACTGGTGGTTTCTGTAAAAGCAAATTTTGAAGACAGTGGAGCCCTGTCTTTCACCGGCAAAATTTCAAGGGGCAGCTCAGGTTTGTTTTTTCTTATTGTGCCCACCATGGTAAGTTTCCTCTTGAGAAGTTCTTGTCCAAGATCATAGCTGGTGAAGAAATTGTCACACGTGATATTGTGACCCCGCAGTCCAGTAGTCATATCAAGGATTACCCGTTTTCCTTGATTCTTCTCAGG